AATTTGAAGATATCTATATTCTCTCTCTCTCTCTCTCTCTCTCTCTATTTAACATACAATTTAGCATATCTGTTAGAGAAAAAGAATTTGAAATCGATACTTTAACATGGGCGTTGGAGATGCTTTTAAATTTGGGAAAAAAAGTTGATTACTGCGATCTTAAACGGCCCCACACAGAACCCATCTTCAGGACACCAACCTGTGAGGGAATTTTTGGCTCATTCAACGACTGAAGCTAGCCTCCAAAAGAAGAGGGAAGAACCCAAGACTTGTCTTGTATCTGAACAATTCATCCCGCCTTTTACCAATTGAGTTATAAGGCAGAAACGAGATGCTCTTAAATTTATTACAACCAAATTGCTTCTATTTATATGATAAAAAGAACTAATTCGAACACATGCATTATTCTTTTGTTAAAATTTGAGTTTTACTTTTAGATATATATATAGGGGTCTAATCAAATGAGAACTAATTAGTTTGTGGTAACTATGATAACTAATATTAACCACAAATCAATAGATAAATTAKGAAATTTATAATTTTGGCAATTTTGAATTACAATATTAATGCAAGGATATTTTTGGTATTTTAAAACTTTCCTCCCTCCTCTCTTCTCTCTCCGGCCACCGTCCGCCGGCCATCGTCCGCCGGCCATCGTCCTCCGGTGATACTACAATGGTATCACAATGCATCATATATGTGCTTGGGTATCACATTGATGTCGTTTGTGTGGTCGATCGAAGATGTAACACAGTGGTATCACTATGCATCTTATATATGATTAGGTATCACAATGTATCTTTTGTTTAACAGAGTCAATATTTTTAGGTATCACAATGGTATCATAGTGGTATCACCGGAGGACGGTGCCCAGAGGCCGGAGAATGGTGGCCGGAGAGAGGAGAGGAGAGAGGAGAGTTTTAAAATACCAAAAATATCCTTGCATTAAGATTTTAATTTAAAATTACCAAATTTATAAATTTCCTAATTTATCTATTGATTTGTGGTTAATATTGGTTCTCACAGTTACCACAAACAACTCAGTTCTCCCTTGAATAGGCCCCTATATATATATATGTATATATATATATATAGAGAGAGAGAGAGAGAGAGAGAGAGACTTAGGATTATGTAAGACAAAACTGTTTTTGTGAGACAAGTTTTTACACTTAAAACTTCATAGCAAAACACTGTAAAGGTAACCTTCACAGTGTTTTTACTGTGAAGGTTCGACTTTTTTTTATACCTTCACAGTGTTTTGCTGTGAAGTTTCAAGTGTATTTTTTTTCCTCAAGTGTCTCACAAAAACAGTCTGGTCTCACGTAAACCCAACCATATATATATATATATATATATATATATATATATATATATATACACCCGCCACACACACTCACAAACTGACGCGAGAGGAAAACAGAGAAGGGTCGACAAACGTCCAAACCCTAGAAAAATAACGAGCATACAACGTAGTTCCCGAAACACAGAGAAAACTCTTATAAAACTAGATATGAAACTATAAAGATAATATTATTAATAAATAATAAACCTTTTTAATAGACTAAAATAACCATGAAATCTAGACCTCAACTAATCCTAAACCAACTAAGAAAGTATTTAATTAATATAAAAACAAAAGTAAATAATAATCATAATTTAATTACAAACTCTAATAATTAAATACAGATATCAAGAAAATCAAATAAAAAAAATACTCAAGTTAATTTCGAGCTCGTTTTTTCTCTCATTGATCCTCAAAAACGGTTGTTAACTTTCAGATATGTACAACATCACAAACACTGTAATAACAATGTATTTTGGTGATATATATTATTTTAGTTTAATACATAATTGTTATTAGTTTATATCTTGAATAAAAAAAATACATTTTAAAAAATTCTTTAAATTTTTTGCATATAGAATTTTCCCTGTCTAGATCCGATTGGTTTGATACTGGCTCCAAAGGTTAAAAGTGTCTGGGGTTCAAAGAAGTTTGAATTCAAGGAGAAACAAAAATCCCCTTGTGCCCACGGAGGTTCAAATGTGGTGACTTTGGGCTATCCGTGAAACGGATGGTCGTCTTGAAATTTGTCGGTTCGCATAACGGGTTGAATATTCAGGTTAATCAATATATATATATATATATATATATATGTGTGTGTGTGTGTGTGTGTGTATATATATCGGGTTGTGTTCACGTGAGACCCGTAAGACCAATTTATGATCATTGATCAACTTTATAAGCTAATGATCTAATGGTTTAAAGTTGTWCGATGACAATTTTGTGATTATTGAGAAGTCTCGTGACAGTTTTGTGATTATGAATAATCAGATTGTAGATTTAATTCAAAGGTTCAGAATTGATCTTACGGGTCTCACGAAAAACTTTTGATCTCACGTGATCTCAAGTCTATATATATATATATATATATATATATATATTAATAAAGTAATAATTAATTTAAAAACAACATAAAGTAAACAAATATTATGATATTCTGGAAGAATAAAGTGCTTATAAAAAAGAGTAAGTTACAAAATAGTCCATGTACTTTACCAAAGTTCTATTTTTCATCCCTTAAGCGTTTTAAAATTACACTAATAACTCTTTGGTTTTCATTTTATTACAGATTTCATCTCTTTTCTAACGACTGTTAAGAGTATCCATTAAATGCCCCTCACGTGCTTCTCACGCGAGAAAATTTTTGTCCTAAGAGAAGACTTGACAAGGTAAGTTATTGTTATTGGAAATGCAGTTACTGTTGTACTACAACAAACTTCTGGTAAATTAAGAAATCAATGGAAAACACTGTATGATTTAATTGTTGTAAAGTTGTATATTCTACAGATTTATCTGATTTGGGATTCGGATTTCAGGCTTTTAATTTTAAGTGATAACTTATGTACAATCATTGTTGTAATTTTGAAAGAATATGCATGAAAACCAGAGTTTTGGTAAACCATAGAGACTACGGGTATTCATCTAAATCGCATAAATAGCACACACCGCATCGTAAATCGCGGTTTAGAACTTCTACAGTGGCGATTTGCGGTTTGCATTTTTACCAAACCACATTATATGATGTGGTTTGTGATCTTGAGTTAACAAACCGCAGTTCAAACCACACCGCACATTATATATATAATCCATATATATATAGTGTGTGTGTGTATGTGTGTGTGTTTATACATAGTACAGTTAGACTAATTTATGTAAAAATAGGGTGCGATTTTTTGCGGTTCGAAGTATATGCGATACGGTTTACCCATAAACCGCATCACAAACACCCCTAACAGAGACAATAAAAAGGGTCGATTTAGGTATTTTCAGTGCTTTATAGACTTGTTCATTCAGATTCTTTATTAAAACACGTAAATTATCAAAATATCCATGTGACTTGCACATGAGAGGCACTAAATGAAATTGAAACATGTTTACTTTTGTAATTTAACAACTCTAGGGATGAAAACGGAAGTTTTGGTAAATTATAGGGACGATTTTTGTAACTTAGTCAATAATTTATTAATTATGTAGTTGACTGATTAGAAAGGCAAGTACAAAAAACAACGTCCGAATGGAATGACTCTTTTCCACCGGCTTTCCTTTTGTCATTTACACATCAAGGTGAATTGCTTAGGAAAAATCAATTTATTATTTTAAGAAAAATTACTTTAAAATATATTTAAAAGAACAAATTGCATGAAAAAGTAACGTATTTTAACTTGATTTCTGTTTTGGATAACGTATTCTCAAAACTTTCATTTTAATACTTAAGATGTAAAGTTTTAACCATTTAAGTATCGGAGTAATCGGTTGAAGCATTAATCGGTTACTATGTTGATGTGGCGAGTGATGTGGTATTCAACTTAGTATTATTCTAAATCTAACCGGTCCTACATAAAACCCTCCTTCAAGGACACTGACGTTAAAAAGCATTTTTTTACCTCACTCATGACTCAACGATCGACTCATCTTACGTAGTTATTATTAGGAATGAAAATCTTGTATCAAACTAAATCAACCAACATGCGTATCAATCGTACTAATTAAATTGGTACAAATTACAATCAGTTAATACTACCGTAACAAATATGAAACTTTTGTTGGTTTCGTGAGACTCGTAAGACCAATTTATGTTCATTGATCAACTTTATAAGTCAATGATCTAATGGTCTAAGGTTGCACGGTGTCAATTTTATAATTATTGAGAAGTCTTGTGGCATTTATGAATGTTCAGATTGTAGATATAATTCAAGGGTTGAGAATTGTTCTTACGGGTCTCACGAAAAACATTTGGTCTCACATAAGCCCAAGTATATATATATATATATATATATATATAATTTTTAATTATTATATAAATATATTTCAAAAAATCTAAATTCAAGTACATTTTTCTTGATATCTAAATTTACCATCAATTTTATTAATCATTTCAATCGATTGAATACATCTTCAAAATCGATTGAGTATATATATATATATATATATATATATTGTATATAACTATACTTGAAACTCGACCAACTCCAATTCAAAACCCGACCACCCGAACCTGAATCAACCTGAAATCTAAAACCCAAAATCGAGGGTTGGTTTCCATATGCAAAATCCAATCAGATTTTTGGTTTGTCCATCTAAACCCACCCGCCGAATCACACCTCTACAGTCTTTTTAATAAATTTTAAATATACGATTAATGGGGTTTTGCTTAAAAAGAGAGTCAAGGTAAAAAACATAATAAGAGATCTCCACATTTGAATGGATATTAGGATGAGATGTATCAGATTAATTCTCATATCAAACACGATTTAAGAGTGAGTTTGAGATTAAAGATGATTAAAAATACAGATATTCTCTTACGCTTCTCACTTTAACTCTACTTCTCACACAATCGTTGGAATATCTGTGTATATATATAAAAGAAGAAAGTGTATGAAAAAAGAATTTACCTTATTAATGGCATGATTGAGGAAAGGAATTTGATGTATTCCCTCCAACTCCGAAAACAGCCTTTCATCTTCTAAATAAACAAACCCTTTCCACCACCATCTTCAACCTCCCTTCTGGTTACAGGGTTGCCATCTTCTTCTCTCCTCTGTCGCTTTCCATCTTCGCCATATTTACAGAGAAATCTCAACTAACAATCCAATTAAATACACTCAGATCCATTCATTCATCACACCATTTCAATGGCAGAGAAGATTTACCCTGCCTCCAAGCCCACCACCGGCGCCGGCGCTGTTCCCACCGCACCAACCGCCAACCCTTCTTTTCCAGCTTCCAAGGCGCATCTCTACAACGCTACTCGTCCTGTATACAGACCTCAACCTCGTCGGAGCCGCCGTAGCTGCTGCTGTTCTTGCTGTCTCTGGATCACTTTCACTATCATAATTTTGATCGTTATCGCTGCCATCGCCGGCGGAGTGGTGTATGTTCTCTACCGACCTCACCGACCTACTTTTTCGGTTTCGTCTGTTCGTGTTTCTCAGTTTAACCTCACTTCGTCGAATAAACTCACTACGAAATTCAATTTCACCGTCACGGCTCGTAATCCTAACAAGAAGATCGTGTTCTACTACGATCCGGTATCGATTTCTTTCAATTCGAATGACGTTGACGTCGGTGACGGATCGATTCCAGCGTTCACGATGGGGAAGAAGAACACGACGACGTTGAGGGCGATTGTGTCGACTAGTGGACAAACTGTGGATGCTAACAGTAATTTGAAATCCGATCTGAAGAATAAGAAGAGTGTGCCATTGAAGATCCAGCTGGATACGAAGGTGAAAGCGAAGATCGGAAGCTTCAAGACTAAAAAGGTACCGATTAGGGTTACGTGTGAAGGAATCAAGGCAGCGGCACCTACCGGAAAAACAGCGACGACGGCGACGACTTCCGATGCGAAATGCAAGGTGGATCTTCGAATCAAGATCTGGAAATGGACGATTTGAGATTACAGTTCCAAATTGAAGAAATCAAAGGTGTGAATTTGATTTTTACCAACTATTTTTGTTCAAAATGATTGTGTTTTGTTCTTACTTTTTTCTTTTTGGGGATTATTTGCATATTTAGGGATGGAATGATGTTTCATGTTTCGTATTGAATTTGATAGAACACATTATGATGATCATTTGATTTTAATCCACAATTGGAAATTTAAGTTTTGTTTTTCAATTTGAATATTTTTCATTCATTTATTCTTTCTTATCAAATTTGGATGAAAAAGTAATGTACTTTAACTTGATATTTATTCTGGGTAACTTTCATTTTGATATCTAAGATGTAAGTTTTAAACATTTAAGTATACGAATAACCAGTTGAATACTAATTTTAGATTAAAATAATAATAAATTTTAGATTAAAAAAATTCATGTCACTAACTATGTTATCAAATAATATTGAGTTGGATAACACATCACTTATATTAATATGATAACTGGTTAATTTTTCAACCGGTTATCCGGATACTTAGATGTTTAAAACTTTACATCTTAAGTATCAAAACAAAAGTTCTAAAAGTACATTATCTAAAATATGAATTAAGTTAAAAGATTATATATATAGAGGTGGGTTATTATACAACCATTTACATTTGTAAAACTAATATAACCTAATCTCAACCGTTTATTTAATTTGATTAATATATGATTTCATAGAAGCTTTGATTGTTTCCTAATATTTAGTATTGATCATAATTCATGATTCATGTTCATCTTCCATAAATATTCAAATTATAATAAATGAACTCCCTTCATTTCTATAAATATCTCAATTAAGTGGGTTGCATTGGTTGTACAAATGGACATGGTTGCATTTGAAATATACCATATATATATATATATATATATATACCATATATATATAGGGTATATTTATTTTACAACCTTGTGTATTTGTACAACCCTTGCAACCCAATTAATTGAGATATTTATAGAAATTATGAGAGTTCATTTATTATGATTTGAATATTTATGAAATATGAATAGAGTTCATTAATTATGATTAATACTTTATATTAGGAAACAATCAAAACTTCTATTAAATCACATACTCATCAAATGAAATGGACGGTTGAGATTGGGTTGTATTGGTTGCACAAATATCAAGGGTTGTATAATAACCAACCTCTATATATATGTGTGTGTAATATTATATAAATATATTTATTTATGTAATTATTTTATGGAAAATTTTAAATCTTAATCGGTCGTACTATTTTCTAATTTTTAAACCATCTGTCGATTTCATCAATCATCTCAATAGATTGAATTTTTTTAAATTGAGTGAATACACATATTTATTGCATATGATACGAAGACCAAAATTCGAAGACCTGACCAACCTAAACCCAAAACGATACGAAGACCAAAATTCGGGGTTTGGTTTCCATAGCCAAAAATTGAATTTTATGATTACCCACTTGAACCCACCCGATGCACACCCCTAGATGCAACAATCAAAAGTAGACTTAACTTGCAACTGAAAGAAACAAAAAGAAGAGAAAAAATGGAAGGAAAAGTATACCCTAACAACCAAAGAAATGAGAACCCGAGAATAATGAGACTGTTTGACGGTTGCTGAATGGTTTGGTGTAGAATGATTAAGTGGTTGAAATGATTAGGAGGTTTTGATGATATAGTGCAAAATAAAATATAATTGTTTGGTAATTGTTTACAATGAAATTAGGGCGTTGAATGGTTAAGGACACCCAAGATACAAAATCATTCAGAAGGTTTTTGAACCATTAAGAGAAACTCTTTTTTTTTTTTGCCAAACAAGATTCACCTCTTAACGATTCAGATACTGCCTCTTAATAAAATATTAAGAGGTAAACAAACAATTCTTTAGCTATTCATCATATTAATTGTTATGATAAATTGGTAAGAAAGGAACATATTTTTTTTTTGTTAACAAATATTTTATTATTAATAAAAATTATATTCTTTGAATTAAATTATCAAATAAATACATGGAGGTTATTGTTGTTACATTTTATTATAAAAATGATCTGTTTGATGATAATATTCATTAAAAACAAATAAAAACAGTTTTGTAAAATTGTAATATTTTTTTTCTAACTTAATAATAATTATTGAAAAATAAAAAAATAAATTTCAAAATCCAAATTTTCGGGTTTTTTTATTTCATTTTCAATTAAGAGGTTGTTTGTTTACCTCTTAGTAGTTCTATTAAGATGCAACATCTGGATTATTAAGAGGTGAATTTTGTTTGACAAAAAAAAGTTTGACTCTTAATGGTTCTAAAACACTCTGAATGATTTTGTATCCCAGACATCCCTTAACCATTCAGCACTTTAATGTCAATGTAAACAATGATAATTCATTTTGCACTATATCATGAAAGTATCTTAATCATTATGAACATTTAATCATTCTACACCAAGCCATTCAGCAAATGTCAAACAGTCCCTAAGTCATGTATGAATAAAGTTGTTTACATTAATAAATATGTCCATATGATATACTGATATTTGGTAAGTTTTTATCCAATAGTTTTTTTTTAGGTATATAATATTAATATACGATAAATATAACAAATAAACTCACACTCTTCTCACCTTTAGTGAGGTTTGAAACCTTAACTTTCTAAGAGACCAGAGACTCACATACCGTTAGGTCAAAGACCCTTTAGTTTTTATTCAATAGTTATATCGAACAAACGGTCTAGAAGCATTAAAATGACTATTTTAACCTTTATTTTAAATTGAATATCTCTAAGATAGTATTTGATAAGCAAACTGGATGAGACATGACATCACAATATATGACAAGATTAATTGTCTGTCATGTGTTCGGTACGACTAGAACATGACATGACAAAACAGTTAAAATGACCATATTACCCCTAAATATTGTTCAATGTTATTTTACATCATATAATGATTATAAATGACAACAAATCAACCAAAATATATTTAAATTAAAAATAATCTCACTTTGTCCTATGTTTTTTTTATCCATGACATTTTAAACATAAGACTATTTTTTGTACCGTCCCATCTCATATAATATGCATACCAAACACATCATAAATAAATTAAAATATTAAAGGGTAAAGAAGAGAAAATGACTATTTTAACCTTTGTTTTAGATTGTAACATCTGTAGATGAGTGTTGATATCGAAGGGTAAGGAATGAGTGATTGTCGGTGGATAAACGACGCCGTGTGAGTACTTCTCTAATTGGGACCCAATAATGGAACACGCTTGTTACATGTTGCTGACCAACGAAACATCGCATTCATTGCTCACATCATCCGAACAACCACTATTTTAAATATTTAATTTTATTAAAAATTAATTTTTTTTTATCAAATTTATCTGAATGGTTTTTCATTAAATCTTATATAAATAAAACAATATGTGCATATTGATTTATTTGTATAGATTCAGAAGATTTTTGTTTGAAAGAGTTAGGTGTGGAATTTTTTGTTTGAAAGAGATAGAAGGATGGTGTTTTTAATTGGAAGGGTTAGGTGTGGAATTTTTTTGTTTTTCTACATAAAGCTTCCTCCTATAAGCTTACTAAATAAGTCACTTTTTATATCATTAAGCCACTACCAAAAAGTTATGTATAGGCTATAGCTAAGAAATTAAGTTGTGAATACCATTAAACCCATTAAGTTGTTAATAAACATGTCATAAGTTATAAACTAATTTAAAAAATAACGATTTTAATTCTTAAAAAGATTTTCTTATACATATAGAGTTGAGTTCACATGAAGCCAGGTTGTTTTTGTGAGACCCGTGAGACCATTTATTTGCAATTAAAACTTTACAGCAAACACTGTGAAGGTAAAAAAAAATTTGAACCTTCGTAATGAAAACACTGTGAAAGTTTATTTTTGCAGTTTTTTGCCGTAAAGTTTCAAGTGTAAAAACCAAAGGGCCTTTGGCCTAGCGGTATGTGAGTCCTTGGCCTTCTAGGAGGTCAAGGGTTCAAACCTCACCAAATGTGAGGAAGGTGTGTGAGTTTATTTGTTCTATTTGCCGTATAAATATTATATACTTCAAAAAAAAGTTCCAAGTGTAAAAAGTGGCCTTACGGGTCACATAAAAACATATTGGTTTCATGTGATCCAAAGTCTATATATATATATATATATATATATAAGTAAGTATTTTATATTTATACTATATCTATAAAATATTGGGTTTTTTTGTTTTCCTACAATTTTAAAATAAAAAATTAATATGACATGGAATATCTTAGTTGGCAAAAGATCTGGATGATGTCACTATTAACAGGTCAATAGATCAACCAAACCCTTAAATAAACAAAAAGTTTGATGGTTAGTTTCCCAAAATAAGAATCAGGTAAAAGTTAGTTTCATTTTAATGCAATTTTCCCTTTTAAAAACTCCAAAAATTTGTCTATTTTATAAAAAAAATCTAAATTATTTTGAATGTAATTAATTATTTTAATTAAATAAACTATATTAAAAATGAGTATTTTTATTCTTTTTATTTCAATACATATTGATACTTTTTTTACTATAAATTGGGATTTTTGTTAAAGGTGGTTGTAAAAAGTTACATTAACGTCTAGTTCACATCGCCCTTTGTAACAATCAAGTCTTGTAGGTGTTCGTTGGTCCCCACACTTACCTATGTACTAGTAGAAGATTCGATAGCTATATATATATATATATATATATATATATAGATGGAGGTTCAAACGAGAACCCCTGTGATTTACGAAAACGCGAGAACAACTCAATAACCACAAACTTTTTTAATTA